TAAATGCTGAGACTGTCTCATTAGATTCCCGTGGTTTAAAAGTGGCTGAATTTTCCTAAAGTCCATTGTCCATTGGCCTCGCCTAGCGTAACGTTATGGGGTGGCAAATGGTTACAGGCGGCCAGTATCACAGACTCACCCTTGCCCCACAGAATATGCTGGGTGATTAGGCTGCCATTTCTCAGTAGTCGACGGAGCCACTTTATGAAGGACAGTGAGCTATTTGGCCTCCGGCCATGCATGGTGAACAAGAGGTCGATGACTTCATACTTTCGTCATGTATGAGTTTTGGTTAATTGTCAGGTTGTCAAGTTATCCCGTCTAGTAGTCACATTCCGTCATACAAATGACCACAGCCTGGAGCTTGAAGCTCCAAAAAAGCAACTACCTTGCAACATTTCCCCACCGAGCTAAATACAGGTCACACATATAATTAACAGTCATAGTAATTTACATAAACGTGTGTATATAAACTTCTAGACTAAGTATACTCTAGTTCAAATTGAATTCCTTCACCCATCTACAGAATTGCATGACACAAAACACACGTGCATGGTGGTGAAGCATGGTTGAAACACAAAAGATCGTCGACGACACCTTTACTCATCTCATTACAATATTCAAGTAGGTAATTATAATAGTTTAATGAGGCGTTGCTGGGTTAAAGGTGCCGGGGGCAGAGCGTGGTCGCACAACAACTCGAGAGCCTCAAAGCAGTCAGACCGCCGCAACACGACAAGACAAACGTAAGTTTTTTGTCATGAATTTGGATTCCTTCCCGAAATGTAATACATATGTGAAAGTACACTCAGTGACACTAGCGCCTACAGCGTCAGAGCAAGGATGGTTTGCCAGGTATTTTAAACACTAATTCTCCTTCTTCTGGTCGACGGGGTTATTTCGCTTCTTAGTTACAGGGTGACATGCCCTTTCTTATGCTGGTAGCTGACAGAATGCGCCAGGTCTTCGTCCAGACACTATTTGCGTAATCCTAGTCAAAGCCACCATTACATAAAGAAGTAGAAAAACTAACTTTTCAGCTATTTTACTTACCATAATGCAGCGTCGCGTTCAAAATTACTGTGACGACGCGAGATTGGGACTTTGGGACGGTTTTTGGTATTTGTAGGCAGCTTCATTCCTACAGGTTGTCGAAACCCCTCTGTCCTCGTCAAACCGGTACCCATTAACGTTAATTGCAGACCGCGCACAAAACGCATCACATTTCCAGGGGCAGAAGAAAAGACACATGGCATGAGGCAATTGTTTATCACATTTAAAGAATGATCTCATCAAGAATGTCTAGTCTTGAACGTCTTGATAGTTGACACTTGCATACCTTGGGGATTACAGATGCAGCATACTAAGTGGGTGTTTCTAAAGTCACTTTTTTAACTGAACTTGGTGATACGAGTTAAAAGGTAATCCATCCGACTTAAGTCCGATGTTTTTGTTACATTTACTGACCAGGACTTTTTCACAGCATGTATGTGCCAGGTATACGCACAGAAACATGTTATTAACTTTCCGTGGTGCAAGCCGCACTTCGAGTCCCAAAGACATGACCACAAAAGCCTGGGATTCTCTGTCAGATATCAGACCCAACCCCTGCACGTTTTCCGCACGTCAGGACTGTGTTAAACCGTCATTTTTTTATCCCCCGGCTCCACGACCCAATTCTGTGTCTACTAGTATTTCCACTGCCCTCCGCGCAGTCCGTTGTCATCTGAGACTAGCTAGACGGCACTTTGCGTTCGCTCTCAACTTTGGGTCCGTCAAGCAATCGACCACAACTGCTCAGTTCCTTCAGTCGGCTTTACCATTCATTGTGACTATGTGAACAGCAACTTGTAGCCAAGAAATGAATCATACAATACACGAAATAGATAGTAATCCTTAATTAGACAGAAAACTGTGCATTTTTATATTTTGTATAGCAGATTTCTAAGTAAAAAAACAAAGGCATGTATATCCATACATTTACCTAAAAATATAACTATATTAATATTGTTGTCTTCAGAAGAGTATGTATTCAGTTTAAGTTCAAAAATGGTCCACCTTGATTCTGCCAATGCAATTTCAGCGTTTTTTGTGGGTTTGTTGATTGTATCTAAAACTATGCAGCTTGTAAAGTCGAAAATCTGTGAATGGATGTAAATGATATTTGGTAATGTGCAGTCGTTACAGAAAGGTCAAGGTGAAAACTGGTTATCCTGTTAAACTCTCTCTCTCTCTATATATATATATATATATATATATATGTGTGTGTGTGTGTGTGTGTGTGTGTGTGTGTGTGTGTGTGTGTGTGTGTGCATAAATATGAATATAGATATGTATATCTATTTGCACCCCTATTTGCATACAGGGGTGCATTTGCATGGAATGAGTTGCCTGGTACAGTTAGAGTGGTCACATCTGGCCACTCTTTCAAGAAGCTGATAAAACAACATTGCTGACCTCTGACCTCTCGACCCAGCCTGATCCATCGATTTTGATGCTCGGTTGTGTATATATATATGTTACTTTTGGTTATTTTTGTTTTACTGTTGTTGGTGTTTATGTCTATCTGTACAGGGCACGCCTGTAAAGCAGTAAATTGTACTGAGTGCGTCTACCCTGTATAAAGAAGACAGAAATAAATAAATAAATAAATAAATAAATAAATAAATAAATAAATAAATATAGATATGTATATAGATATGTATATAATCCTACGCCGGCCAGACACACAAAGCTAATGACAAGCCCCTTTAGTGAATCTTTTTTTTTTACTTTTTTTTTTACAGAAAAGGTATAATAACCATGGGTAACGCAATTGGATACCTGAAATGGCTGGGCCAAGGCAAGCAGGCGTTCGCACCTGATCGGAAAGAAGATTTCGTGGAGACAAACATCGGATTTCCGTGCCGTGTGGTGACCGGGAACAAGGCCGTGCAGTCTGTCTTTGACATCGACCTCTTCAAAAAGGAGGAATTCTTTTTTGGCCTGATAGAAATCCGTAAGGAATTTACGGAGGGTGTCTGCCCAAGCGTCACGTCTAACGGAAAAATCCACGAGAAAAACAAGGCGCTGATGATGGACGTCATCGCCGGGGCTTACGAAGAGATCCCAACATCAACAGCAGACGCCGTGCTGTCCAACATCGCCACCTGGGGAAGCACACCAACCGACTTCGAATCAAAGTTAATGGCAGTGTCAGCAGGGATTTTTCTCCCCACCATCTTCGGGAGATCAACACGTTTCAATCCCGAGGATGTCAACCTCTATGTCAAAGGTGCAACTGAATTACGATCAGACATCTTGGCCGCGGTGACGCGTGAAGATCTTACTGAGACGCGAAGGGGGATGAGGTCTGTCCTGGAGAAAATAAAGACATCAGAGAGGTAGGTGGGAAGGATTTACCGTACCAAATTATCTTATTATTTTTACCTCTATGCAAAATGGAGTTATTTTGTTTTTTGGTGTGTCCGTGTGTCTGTCTGGTCTCGGTACTGCAGCAGAACTTCCGGTCTTTGTATCTTTTGTCCTGAACACGCTATAGTCTTGGATTTTGGTGACAGATTTTCATGTCAGGAATAAGTGGTGTGGGTTCTGTACCCGTAGCAGCTTATTCTGGAACTGCAGGGGAGTTTCTGGCGAGATCTTTTAAAGCGGATAAGTCCGGAAAGAAAGAACGTATTTTCATCATTGTCGGTATGTAGGTAGCTAATAGGGAGATGTACATAATTTAATGGAAAAATGTGCAAATAAAGACTTAATTTGCATAATTAAAGAGGAAATTCTGTAATTACGGAGTTTTACACAATAGTACTTTCATACATGTAATGTATGCAATCTACAGCAGATGGAACACCAACAGACATCAAATAATGATCTAATTTGTATTTCATAGGGGTATAAGGTCTTTATGAATTCTTGTGTAGAATTAGTCCACTTAATTTTGTTGAGTTATTGTAGCGACAAGCACATTGAAGTCCTCCATGTTTTGTTTTGTTTTGTTTTGTTTTGTTTTGTTTCTTTTTATTCAAAGGTACAGCCAGCTGATAGATCTTGGTAGATCGCACGGATTAGATGAGGCGTCGACCACGGGACAACTGCTCTTCTGTGTTATGTTCAACGCAGTTGGTGGCACCGCAACTAACCTGGTGGCAACCTTCGGCCGCTTGGACACTATCAGTGCGGAAGACCGGCAGGAGCTACGGGAGGAAGCGCTTGCCGCCCTGAGGAAACATGGAGGCCTGACCCGAGCGGCCCTGGAGGAGATGCCGAAAATTGAGAGCTTCGTGTTGGAAGTGCTGCGAACCTGTCCCAGCCCAGGTGTTTGGAGCCACATCGCGGCACGCCCAACGACTGTGAAGTACACAACAGCAAGTGGTCCAAAGGAAGTCAACGTGAGTGACAAATTAACTTCGCTCTCATAAGAAAATACAAATTACTCACATGTGCACACACACACACACACACATACTCGCAAATTCATACTCGGGAATTTGTAGGGGGGCCGCATGGGGGGGGGTCCCTACAACGCTCTACGCTAAATTTTAAGAGCCGGTATTACACTACAGCAGTTTAAGGTAAATTCCAAGTGGCTACATTGACTCATTACGTAGAATTAAAACGCGAATTACGCTCTACGCAAAATGCTCCAACTACGCTCTACGTTGAATATTAGAGCGGTCCGTCTACGCTCTACGTAGAATTAAAACGGCCGATAACGCTCTACGGAAAAGGGCATGCTGGCCCCCTTTTAGTAACTAGGATCATAGTAGGATGTTAAGTTTCATTTTTACACTTTTCTGTTTGTACTATGCCAAATAGCCCTTGCCATACACAGTATAATGCACAATTGTCGTATAATAAAGTTCTTCTATCAAAGTTCTACATACATACACACCTACTTTGCCCATCTCTCGGCCTGACTTTACCCATAACCAAGGTATTCTACCCCCATTTCCCCTATTTTCAGATTAAGGAGGGCGAACGCGTGTATGCCAGTCCCTACTGGGCATTGAGGGATCCCGCTGTGTTCGACAAACCAGACGACTTCGTGTGGCGGAGGTTTCTCGGCCCCGAGGGAGAAGCTCTTCGGGAACACCACGTCACCTTTCACGGCCGACTCACGGATTCAGCCGCGGTCAACAACCACATGTGCCCGGGTAGAGACGTCGCGCTGTCGGTAATCAAAGGCAGCATCGCCATCCTCAACACGTTCTTCGGATGGGAACTCCAGGAGCGACCATTCTGGACTGGAACGAAGGTATCTCGTATCGGCCAGCCGGACAACGTTGTGAAAGTCAAGTCCTTCTGGCTTCAACATCCCGACGACTTGAAAGAGATTTTCCCGTCCCACTTTGAGGAAATCCATGACGTAAGTTTTTAAATGGGTAAAGAATTGAGCATATATTTTAGGTAGCGTGCATAGTTCAGTGCCTTTATTTCACATTCCTTTTTA